TGAAAACAAGGTTTTCAATAGGAGAAGAGTTGTCAGAAGGCAAAGGAAGATCGTTGAGTATAATGTGAACTGGTCTTGTAAAGTAGCTAAGAATTGAGCATGTTCACACTCAGAAAAATGTTGGCCCACTGCACTAGAAGAGAGCCTAGTTGCATGCTCTTTCAAACGTACAGAAAGGCATCTTTGTGTCATGCCAATATAGGTTTTGCCACAACCAGGGCAAGCGAACTCATAAACAAGATTACTACGAGATAAAGGAGGAAGTTTATCTTTGTTGGAAACAAAATAAGGGAGCTTTTTATTGTCATAAATAGTGATGAACTTAACCGGTTTAGAAATAAATCTTTGTAGCCTACTTTATTGAGACATGATTTTAAAAGAAAATCGCCACGGTTTCCGAGATAAGGAATACGAATTCAAATTTTAGGCAACAGATCATCATCATTGTCATGATTAACGGCATGACACTGATGATGATATGTTGCCTAAAATTTGGATTCGTATTCCTTATCTCGGAAACCGTGGCGATTTTCTTTTAAAATCATGTCTCAATAAAGTACAAAGATTTATTTCTAAACCGGTTCATCACTATTTATGACACTAAAAAGCTCTCTTATTTTGTTTCCAACAAAGATAAACTTCCTCCTTTAACTCGTAGTAATCTTAGCTTGAAAGAGCATGCAACTAGGCTCTCTTCTAGTGCAGTGGGCCAACATTTTTCTGAGTGTGAACATGCTCAATTCTTAGCTACTTTACAAGACCAATTCACACTACTCAACGATCTTCCTTTGCCTTCTGAAAACTCTTCTCCTATTGAAAACCTTGTTTTCAACAGCTACAGAATACTTCACATTACAAAATCTAACAACTACAACATTCTTGCTTTTCTTGAAGCACTGCTTATCAAACATAACAAACCTTTCCTTAACACTGGACTTAAAGCTAGTAAAGAACTACAACTGTTCACATAACACTTTAACTTAATCTTCTTCTACTTGTCGGGTCTTCCCTTTCTATCTTATTCCTTTTAATATATTAAACATTGTTGTAAATATAGCGAAATAATCCATTTTCAGTTATTACTATTTTCTCTATCATGTTTCACTTCGCTTGGATAATCCTTCTTTCCGCCCACATGACAGATGCTCTCTCTCTGCGTTGTATATATATATATATATATATATATATGCTGTAAAGTATTGTATTTCATTCTGTGTGAAGATGACTTTGAAATAAAGTCGAAAATTTACAGTCTCAAACTGCGTCTTGTTTTGAATTATATATTGAATTCTCAAGATGTTCTGTATTTTTGGAATTTGCTTTTTACTTTATTTTTTTAAATTGTCGGCTGGTCATGGTTCTTGAACTAAAACATTTATTGTATGGTTATCATTTGCCTAATATAACAATAATCTTTATCAGCATTCCCATATATTATAGGTTCATAAATGGTATTGCCTAATATAATACTTTAAGTCAAACAAAATTTTAGCTAGTCAGAGTTCAAATGGATCCTCTTTTTGTTGTGCCTAGGATGAAGATGAAAACATTTTTTATTTTTCATGTTACCAGGACAACTTAAAAAAACATATGTTAAATGTGTATATGCATTAATAAATCAACTGATTTGCATTACTAACAACGAGTTTCTCATATTACACCACAAAGCTTTTCACGCGGATTACATTTCACACCGCACGAATTCTAGTACTGCGCGAATTCTAGTAATGCGCGGATAGTTCTTGTTGTTTTGCATTAAATGTTACACAATCCAAAGTTGTCATTTCTGGCGAAAATTTCCCACTTACCAGTGATGTTCTATATATAGACAGGTGCTACAATATTTTCAGGGTTTTTTCTACACCCCCCTCAGGACTCCAAAAAAGCAAGTAACCCCCCTCCCCTAGGAGAAGATCAACTTTTCATGACCCCCCTCCATTCCCCCTCCCCTAGGGTATAAATAATGAACGATCCCTAATAAAGTTACTATGAGAGTGACTGTTCATCTTACATGCATGCATCTGACATTCGCAAGCAAGTTAAGATTCTCTTGAATTGTTATAACATACAATGATGCAAATAAGAAGATATTTTAACAAAAGTATCATTAGTAGTAGGGAAAGGCCGATTCGAGGACAATTTGGTGACAATCACCCACCCCCACCGCGAAAATGGCCAAAATTGCATACCTTCTATAGCCAGAGTCCGCTGCAGGTCCGCAAATAGCTAAATTCGCAAAATTCGAGGACAATTTGGTGACAATCACCACCGCCCACCCCCACCGCCAGGGCGACAAAAATCCCTCTGCGCATCCCTTACGCGCATCTGATGACGTCACTTCCGGTCCCTCACAATGCTACAATCCCAAAATCCCTTGCGCCCCTCTCGAAACCCTCTGCCTACCGGACATCTCTACCCCATCCCGCGCATCCCTCTCCGAAACCTCCCGACCACCTCTTCCCCATCCCAAAGACCTCCCCACCACCTCCCCCACCCCGCGCTTTCGCTCCGCTGTTGGGAACTTCGTAAGGACTTCGCAAAGACTTTACTGAGTGCTCATGAAGGCTTTCGGAAGTATTTGCCGTAATGTTGTAATCTTCGCGGAAAAAACACTTTAAAGACAAGGCTTTTCTTGTATTAAATAAAGGACAATGTCTATTTCCAATGTGTCAGACTTCTTCGGAGATTCGTTCGCATTTGAGGATTCCGTCAGGAACAGGTTCGGGTTTAAAAAGATCGGACCTGTGGCGGAAGACGGTGGACCTCCTTTACTCAAGCTGGAAAACTGCCTGGCTATGGAATTAACAAAAACAACAAGTTCGGAAAGGACAACTATACCATTCCGTTAGCAAAGTTTTTTCAAAAGAAAGTAAATGTCGATCGAGTTTTCCAGAAAAACTAATCATTTTATATATCGCCATGTAAACGTAGGCTATTGCACTCACTCACTGTAAAACATGATTAAATAGGAAATATGTAAATACAACCCTTCAAAATTATTTGCTCAGAATAATCTGATCAAATTTAACGAGTCCACATCAGATCTCATTGAATAGGATATCTGACCAAGAAATTATCTCATTGCCATAAAAAGTCTCATTTATTGGAGTGCATACATACCATCACAATTAAATCCATCTCCAGTGAACCCAACATTACAGGCACACTGGAAGGATCCTGGTACATTGGTACAGGTGGCAAAGACATGGCATGGGCTTGCTGCGCATTCATTGATATCTATGTAACACATAAGATAATATTTTAAAACACATAATACACAACAATATAAACGGTAACATTTTATATCAAGTAACATATAAACAAGCTGTCTAATATTGAAGTAATGATGACATTATATACCTGCGCACTGCAGTCCATCTCCTCTGTAGCCATCGTTGCAAGTACAATAAAATGTGCCGATTGTATTGGTGCACGAGGCATCAGTGTAACATGGGTTTGTCAAACATTCGTTAATATCTAGGAAATTAAAAATACAAAATTTAAGCCTTGCTTTCGCAATACTTTTGCTCCTATTTTAGTTTCGGTTCTTACTGTTGTGCGTTGCGTTGTGTTGTGTTGTATTGTGTTCTGTTCTGTCTTGTTCAGATCGGTGGTTTAACACTTGTTCTGCTATGTTCTCTTAATTATGTTCAGTTAGGTTATTTTTGTTATTACTACGTAACAGTACCAGCGCAGGACTGTCCATTTCCACTAAAACCAGACTTGCAATAACATCTGTGACTTCCATCTCTATTTTCGCATGCAGCGTTCACGTGACAAGGATTATCTTTGCATTCGTCCCTATCTACATTGAAGAAAAGTTGAATCATAAATCATTCAAGAACTGCAATATTTCATATAACTAAGATCCAGTTACACTTTTTGTATAGTATAATTTTAAGAGAAAGACCTATAACAAAACTTGCCATACTTAAATATCATAGTCATACAAACCTGCGCAGTTAATACCATCACCGACATAACCTTCTCGACAAACACACTCAAACGATCCCTCCGTGTTTGTACAATTGGCGTTGGTGTGACAAGCAGTACCAGTAAGACATTCGTTGATGTCTAAAATAAATATACGCAGACAAAAAGTTAGTCCGCACTTTAAAACTAATTTCCTGTCATCTACATGTAAATTCATGGTGGATGCAATTATATGGTCTTCGACTATCACTAGGATTATCAACTAAAGCTCAACTAGTCACCCATCTGTACTATTGGAGAGGCCACTGCAACAGGGCAAATGACCTGCAGATACTCTTCGACACCTTATAAACTGCCCCGCCTGAATAGATCGTTCTCCTACTCTGACACTTTCACCTTGTAGAGACACCGAGTTCATCTTTGAGGAACTACCAAGTCTACCACTTGCTATGACTAATATAAACAGCAGTGGCTGATGCGTCTTATCTCGGCAGTAATCCATGCATGACGGGGTTTTTCCTGACCTCACGAGGGTATAAACACTGCGTTCCAGGTGACCGCAAAGTTTGAATGTTTCCAAATGGTTACCTAAACAAATGCTCTTTTATTCATCCAGTCATATTATAGATAACATTAAAATTCTATAGAGGTTTCACCTCTTCCCTGTGGATACGCATGAGAAACGCCCCTGTACTTACCTGCACACTGGACTCCATTTCCTGTATATCCAACGTTACATTGACACTGATATGATCCTGGGATGTTCAAACAGTTAGCGTTTTGATGGCAATTATTCAATACTGGATTAGCACATTCGTCAATGTCTGAAAATATAAACATATACATTGGTTCATATAGATTTGACACTACACCGAAGGTTAATAAGGTTGCATCCATTATTCTTATACAACGTGTTTTGTTATTGGTTTAAGCTGATGGCAAAGATTCTACGATGGTCAGAAAATGTTTGTAAGTTAAGGTTGCGTAGGCTCTCAAAGCAATGAAAAATATCTGTTGGATCTGGCAAGGTGTAGAATTTGGATTTGGCAAAATAATTGGCAACTGTCGTAACTCAGGTAAAACCAAATAAGTGTGCATCATAAAAAAGTAACAAAATTACCAGTACATAAAAATCCTGAGCCCGAATAACCCGAATTGCACTGGCATAGGAAAGATCCAACAGTATTTGTACATTGAGCATTAGCATGGCATGGATCACCGTTACATTCATTGATATCTGAGAATAAAAACAAACACAATAAGTCAGAATAATGACACAGTTAATGAGGGCAACAAAATGTTTTAGGGAACCTTTCTGTTTTGTCTGTTCTTGCATCTTCGGCGGTCTCGAAAAACGAAGGTGCGAATCCTGCTCAAGGCAACGATTTTTTCGTTGTACTCTGCAGTTTCAGAATAATATTAACCAGTGTTACAGACCACAAAATCTCGCGTCCGTACCTGTCTACATTCGTACCTGTCTACGTCAAAATACATTTCAATGAAAAAATGTTTTCTTTAACATCACCAAATGGTTCAATGTTTTTAATAAATCCTTTTTCTATCAATGTATATGTACGACAATAAATCTGGCAAGAACAACAACCAATTAGCTTTAGATCTAGAAATCCTTAAATATCTTAAGTCGCCTTAAATCGTAACGACGTTGGTGGAAGTTTTAAATCACCTAATTAAGTTATCTGCAAATCGCCTAAACTCGCCTTAAATCGCTTTATCTCACAGATAGTTAAGACAAATTTACACTATGAGCAGAGCCTGGCATGTTACAATGTCAGGGTGGACTATTCAAACTTACCAACACAATTGAAACCATTTCCGGAATAACCCACTGTACATGCGCATGTAAAGCTTCCGGGGGTATTTTGACATACAGCATTAGCATGGCATGGATTAGTCAAGCAGTCATTAATATCTGAAAAATAGATACCACAGAATGATGTCAGCATTTATTTACTGAAACCATGTAGAGTAGCAAGCAAAAAGCATATTAAACGTGGTTGCAATGAACGATTAAATATTAAGATTTGAACGATTGTTTTCTCACAGAATAGTTGGAAAACTTGCACATTTTATTGTAGAAGATTATAGAATATTGTTAAATCGATCATATATAAGTAAACTTATCACAAGTGACGAATTAAACATATATAGGCAGTCAACAGAAATGGTAACTTCTACTCAAGTGTCCAGCAATTTTGTAGAATAGCTCGCCTCGTTAGTTTGCAATGCACAAGCAAGTAATTGTAATAGAGTCATAAGAGCAGTCTTCATGGGGATGTGAGCTTATGGACTTCTGAATAAAATTGTCGAGTTATATCAGTTCAAATAAAACTATCTAAAAACAATCAAAATTTGTTATCAAACATTTTGTAGTCATAACGAGGCACTTACCTACACAGGCAAAACCGTCCCCAGTGTAGCCAGTTTTACACTGGCAAGTGAAAGATCCAACCGTGTCGGTGCAGTTTGCGTTTGTGTGGCAAGGAGAGGATACTACGCATTCGTTGATGTCTAAAATATTTATAGAAATATATCATAATAAGTATCATAATAGAAGCAGATTATTATAAGAAATCCTGCGTAGCAGGCTTGTTCTCGTATATCGGAAGTTATTGGTTACAGAACATTATTTGCTTTGGACTGAATTGCAATAACCCGGCGGTTTCATCCCAGAACTACTTTTGATGACTATCGCCCGTGAGTCGTTAAGTAAAATATTAACGGAATACGTACTTTGACAGTTAAAGCCATTCCCCGAGAATCCTGTTCTACATGCACAACCGAAAGAACCTTTGGTGTTGGTGCAGATACCATTGGGAGAACATGGGTTTGTCAAACATTCATTAATATCTAAAAACAATATAATCATAAATCAGATTTAGCTACAATGTGTGTAGTTGTGCAATTAATGTCCACATGCATTCGGTATTTATAACCTGCCCTGACATTATTTCCTCCCCCCCCCCCTCGCTCGCCTCAATGTAACAC